CAGGGCCTGGGGGCAGGAAGCAGAGTCTGGGGGCAGGAGGGCATAGCTGGGGCAGGGAGACAGAGCAGGGGAGCAATCCAGGACGCTTCTGGGGTACATCACTTTAGTGGGGACCCCTGACTAGATCAGAAGTGCAGCAATAACAAAGGTCTTCTTAGCGCAAACACTGTGCATGTCTCTCCAGGAGATGCTCCCGGGGCATGTACTGTCATTTCTGTTTTCCAGAAAACAACCCAGAGTCGGCCTGACTCACCTAGCGCAGGTGAGGCCAGCAACACCCCTTCGGCCCCCATCTCTTGGCTCCCTGAGAAAGCACCAGGCTGGCTAACAGGAGCGGGGGATCCGTCCATGAGAAACGGGGGGGCAGACTTTGGGGGGCATTTAAGGTAACTCAGGGGAAAGGCAGTTTCCATGTGAGGGACTGGGCTCACGTCCCCGTTTCCTGGGCCCTGACAGTACCCTCGGTCCCTGCGCCGGGCCTGCCTTGTCCTGGCTGTGCACCCTGCAGCCCAGACAGGTCGGGACAGCTCCCCTCCGTCCGCCTGTGTGCGCACCTGGCTGTGTCAGTCACAGGTCACCTGGCTGGAGGGTGGGGGGCAAGGAGACTGAAGACAGTTAGATTCCCTCTGGCAAATACCAGGAAGCCGTGTAGGCCTGCCTGCGAGGCAGGAATGCGGCCCTTGTCCCTCCACCTGCAGATAAGGAGGGCGTCTGCCTGTTCCACCCGAGGAGCCGCCAGAGAGCAGGGACTGGCGGCCGTGGACATGAACGCAGGGTGCCTGGCACCTGTGAACAAGATGGTGACCGGCCTCCCCAGTAAATTACAGTTCAGGACTTCCCTGTGGCAGAAGTAGATGCGGGCTGGAAGGAGTTGGCCTCGGCAGCAGGGAGGGTCAGAGTGGTTGATGGAGATGTCATCCTGTGATAGGCCATGGGTGAGGACAGCAGAACTTTGCAAACATTGGGTAACAGGAAACACAGCCCATGAACCCCTCCCCAGAAAGCTGAGCCCCAGTGTCCCGTTGCCGAACTTGCAAGTGTAATGGGTTGAAGCGTAAAAACCGAACCCTTAAAATGACCGGCTGTGGCCACGGAAGCCTTTTTGTTAAAGCAGAAGGCTGTTTTCCTGGCACAGGTAGACGGCGGCCTGCCTTGTGTTACATGTCACCCCAATTTGTGCGTTCCAGATCACCACGATGGAGAGCAGCCTGAAGACCATCGAAGAGGAGAACAAAGTGATCGAGCAGCAGAACGAGTCTCTTCTCCATGAACTGGCCAACCTGAGCCAGTCCTTAATTCACAGTCTAGCTAATATCCAGCTGCCACACATGGTAAGTGACTAGGGGCGCGACACGAGGCGCCGGGCGGTCCCCCGCAGTGCACGGCGTGGGGTAGAGGTCTGTCTCTCTGGCTGTGTTCCTGGCTGTCCGCACGGTCACCGCCCCAAAACCGTAACGCGAAGTGCTAGAAGCACTGGTGGGGCAGACCCCCTGCGCCCCGTCAGATGAAGTATGCTGAGTGGGCTGTGTAAATAGCGTAAAGACAGTGACGCCACACTATGCTGCTATTTTTTGCTGATGTGAGTATCCTATTAAGAAAGTAAAAGTTGTGTATGAACTACTATTTGATATCTCGTAGGATCCAATCAATGAACAAAATTTTGATGCATACGTGACTACTTTGACGGACATGTATACAAATCAAGACCGTTATCAGAGCCCAGAAAATAAAGCCCTCCTGGAAAATATAAAGCACGCTGTGAGAGGAATCCAGGTCTGAGCGGCTGCTGAGGTGGCGGGACCTTGTTGGAAGGGGGCCTTTTACTCCTTGCTGCTGTGACTCGCCAGAAAGTGTCACATACCTATTTCTGTTGGAAACAGTGTTACGCTCACAAGACTTCATGATGATTTTCTGTCTTGCTTTAAAGATAGTTACCTGCAGAATAGTTTTTGAATACATTCACATTTTGTACGTTTTCATATGAGCTGACATAGTGTGACAATGCCATGTAATGTTTATAGCTGCTAACGTCTGCACACTTGGGGGTATATATATTTCTGAAGAGGTAAGCTGATCAAAATAAATAGAGTGTAAATTCTTTTTAATGCTTTAGTGATTAAATGTTTTAGTATTTTGGACTGAAATGGACAAAAAAAAAAAAAAACCCACAGCTTTGAATGATCATGTGGTGGCCTCTCAGCCACTTTTTAGACATTATCATTTTGCCTCATGTTGGAGGATTTTATGGAATTAAGAAATACATTTTGTGTGCATATTGTTTCATAGCAAGAATCGGTTGCAAAAAAATGCTTTATTTTTGAACAATGCTTGGAAATATTATGTGATTTTTTTGTTTGTTTGTTTTAGGAGGATGGTGTATGGTGGGGGCAGTAAATGAGGTTTTTTGCATTCCAAGGAAATGGCATATGGATTAACTGTAAGAGATGAGATAAGTAATTTATTGTAAGACAACATCAAGCCATGGAAATTTGGCAGAAGATTCAAAGCAGCTTAAACAGCACTTTTAAGTTAACTCCTGAGCATTACATGGTGTGACTCTGGGAACTTCAGTTCAGACAGGGGCTTGTTAGAGGTGGACCGCGTGAAGATTTCCTTTTGCAGTGTCTGTAGACTTTGGAGCAGCCTTCCCCTATCTCCCCGAGAGCGCTGTGCCCCTCAGAACCCTCTGTCATTGGAATGGCGTGTGTCTCACAGAACCTGTGTGCTCTCTTTAAGTTCAGAGCTAATTTAAGAGTATTTATTTCCCCTCTCTCCACTTTCAAAAATGATTACTATCATTGTCGCTGTGATTATTCCTCCACGTTCGGGGGATAAGGCAAATGGTGTGCTAGTCCGTGAGCTACTGCACGCGCTTTCTGCTGGGCAGGGGGGCTGGGGGGAGGGGGCGGGGGGAGGGGGCTGGCCGCCCCCGGCCCGTCTCCCCTGTCCCCCGCAGAGTGCTCCGCAAATGACCTTCCTGTTGCAACTCCCCTTGGAGACCAGGTGACCGCGGAGCATTTGCATACCCTTGCTGTTTGATTTGTCACAACCTATTCTAAGAATGAATGCAATCAGATTTTAAGAGTAATTCTCTATACTTGAGCACTTTTTTGCTTTACACTAGATCATCTTAGACTTGCTTATACTTGGAGATTTGATTGTTTTCTTCCAATGACTGCACTATATGTATGCATAAGACCACTTTTGATTGCCACGTTCCCCCATCCCTTCTGAGTAGTCCCTAGGACGGCGTGTTGTGTTTTCTGGTGTTGACTTGAGTTATATGTGACAGCATCTCTTCCTTCCATGTCTTGATGTTATGCAGGAAGTACAGAAGTACTTTAAAATTTTGTTATGAAAAAAAAAAGATGGGTTTTGTAAAAATAAAAAAAAAAATATTTTTAGCAGAACAGGACTTACAGGGTCATTGTCCCCACAACGTGCCAGTCGACTATTTGCACTTACCTTGTCCTATATATCCGTACGGAGGTGTGCAATTCCTGGGGTCAGCGGCCTCGCGAGGCTGACCCCGGAAGGATGAGGGGAGCCCTCACGGCTGACCCGACGATGTTGCTACGGGAGATTACAGGGATCTCACAGCAAATATTCTGATACAATACTCAACCTCGGTGTATATATATGTATAAATATATGTACATCCCAGCGGCACTTTATACTCTGCTCACTGTACAAACGCTCACAGTTTTCCACGAGGACTTGAATAGCGAGCTGGGACAGATGATGTAATTCCCCGGGGCTCTGCAGCGCCGTCCCTGGAGCGCGCCCTCTTTCTGTTGTGCGACTAATTGTAGCTGCCATGCTCAGAATTGCCTTTCGAGAGCTGAAGCAAGGTGCTTCTCGTCACCTGATGCCGTGGACCCCGTGGGGGCCCCCTCCCTGCAGGGGCCCACTGTTCACATGGGCATATGCATTTCCCCGCCGCGTCGTGTCTGCAGCTTTTTTGCCAATATAGTAATGCTTTTAGTAGAGTGATAGGTAGTATCAGTTTTGGATTCTTCTTGTTATCACCTATGTACAATGGAAAGGGGTTTTAAGCACAAATCTGCTGCTCATCTAACGTTGGTACATAATATCAAATCAAAAGTTATCTGTGACTATTATATAGGGATCACAAAGTGTCACATATTAGAATGCTGACCCTTCATATGGAATTATTGTGAGTCATCAGAGTCTATTTATTATAACTTATTGTTCATTATCATTTCTAAGTTAATTTAAGTAATCATTTATTAAGACAGAATTTTGTATAAATATTTATTGTGCTCTCTGTGGAACTGAAGTTTCATTTATTTTTGTACTACACGGCATGGGTTTGTGGACACTTTAATTTTGCTATAAATGTGTGGAATCACAGGTTGCAGTGACACTTCATTTTTAAATTGTGAACTTTGTACAAATTTTGTCATGCTGGATGTTAACACATCTTACTCTAAATAAAAAAGGTGTTGCCACATTTGTAGCACGATGGATCTCTACCCGGGGTCTGCGTCTTCACTTGAGTCTGGAAGCGCTGTGTGGGCCACGAGGAGCGTCTCGCCCCAAAGTCAGTGGCTTTAGCCGCCGTGTCGGTCCGGGTGCGCGCCCCTCCTCAAAGGCGCAGCATCGGTGATTTCTCAAACCCACCGCAGGAGTTTTGGGAGGCTCCCTACCCCTCGCTTGTGTGGAAAGCCACTCTGCCACATTTGCTTGTGTGAGGACACGTCACATCTAACGGCAGGTGTCTCCCCAGAACGGGGACGTTCTCCGACACGACCACGGTACAACTCCCACACGTGATAAGACGTCCTCCTAACTTGCAGGTGTATCCAGATGCTCCAGCTGAGCCCATAATGTCCTTTACAGGTTTGCCCTTATCTGATAATCCTGGAGGACCGCAGGCTGCTCTCGGCGCTCAAGCCCCTGGTCCCTCACTCCTGAGCAGCCCCTGGGCCTTCCTTCCTCGGTCTCCCAGGGGCAGGAACGTGCATGAAGTGTCCAGGGCGGTTGGTTTGCAGACCCTGCCTGGGTTGGCTTAGTCTGATGGCCACGTCCTGGGGGCTCAGGTGCCCTGAGCGATGCCGTGTCCCTTCCTGCAGCTCACTTCCAAGGGCCCACGTGGTCACTTGCCAATGATTGCCCCTGGGTGCTTCATCATCCATTGTTTCTTCCAAACTATCGGCAAGGACCACCCATAAAACTTAAATTACCCTTCAAATATGGTGTATCAATGAATTACCCACTTTCCCTTCGTCTATTTGAGTAAAAGTCACCCTTTAAAATTCCAGAAACACCCTCTTATAATAGACACAATCCCCCAAAATATAACGTTTGAGGAAGAGGCCCAGTAATCTTTGTTAAATCCAAAGTGTATCCCCGCAGGGGTCCTCTACCTCCCCGAGACTGAGGGCCACCTGAGCACCGAGCCGGCTGGTGCTGTTTGAGATCATAGAGGTGAGATCATAGAGGTAACAGCTTGGCCAGCCTCATCACAGTGACTGAGGAGAGGGAGGGGCGCCCCTGCAGGTGGCGGGCGGCAGGTGCGGGCTCTGTCGAAGACCCTGCCTGTAGGACCAAATGGAGTTAACGCAGAAGGTGGTGGGTCCACTAGAGGCTGTCAGTGACTTAAGCCTGTCAGCCTGATTACTGAAAAGCCGTTTTCGTCTGAGGGGCAACATGGCTGGAGTTGTTACAAACATTCTGGAAAGCAGTTTAGCCATCATGTCAAAGACCTTATAAAATTCAAATTTTGACCCAGTAATTCCAGAAGTCTATCTTAAAATACCATATACTAAAAACAATTGTAAATGCACGGAAATAAATAAAAATAACCCAAAAGTTCTATTTTAGAGGAACACTTTAACAATTGACGACAAATGCACTTTTTAGGGTACCCCAGATCGGGTAAACATTAGTTAAGAGGCTCATGAATAAGATGTTTGTGATGCTGTAAGTGAATAGTACAGAGGCGGAAGCATAAACAACTCAGAAGCAGCGAGGTCGGATCGGCTTGCCTCACCCTGCCCAGCCCCCGTACCGGGGGTCGGCCACGAGGGTCTGCCATGGCAGCCCTGGCAGGCAGCACCTGTGGGCTGGGACAGGAAGCTAGCCTCAGCCAGTGAGGGGAGGGGAGGACCCGGGAAGCCGGAGTGAAAGCCAGTGCTCTGGGCTCAGGGTCAGGATAGGAGAGGCTGCACAGAGTAAAGACAGGGGTCCTGGGAGGACCGTTTGTTCTCTGGTTCCTTTGTCTACAGCTATCCTACTGAACATGGTCGCCATAGGAATACCAAAACATTTTTAAATAAATAAATAAAAAGCCTGAGTCTAGTGAGGTTTCTAGAAGGTTCTGGAGATCTCCCAGGTGTCTGCATCGTGCACTCAGCCCCATGGGTATTAAAAGCAGAGAGGACGGAGAACACACAGCAGAGGGGCAGGGCAGGAGAGCAGGTTGGAGGGGCAGGTGCTGCAGGCCGGGCCCCTGGGGACCCCCCCAGGAAGCCCCATCCGGAGCCCAGACACCCGCTGCGTCACCTCCTGGACGCCCCGCTCTCAGGAAGGTGAGGCTGCCCATTGCCCACCCACTCCCTCCCCTCCGGCCCTGCCAGAGCCTCAGGATCCCCCAGCCCACAGCCCAGCAGATGCTGGGCTTCCCTCAGCTCCAGCCACGCAGCATCCGGACTGTTCCTGCTCAAGGAAGACTCCAGAGCAATCCGGGTCCCTCCCTCCGCTCCTCACCTCCAGTCAGTGTCCACACAGCAGAGTGATGCACGCACGGGAGAGCC